GGGGGAGGGCCAGAAGAAATTGTATTCAACCTCACCCAAACTTGGGTTCAGGTTCTACTAAAAGGACTACCCAGTTATCCAAGTTGGTTTTCTTGAACTATATATATGATTCAATGCACAGCTATTACTGAATAATGAATTCCAAAGGTAGAAATATAATCACTCAACTTTGGATGACAGAAACCTCAGTGTCACTATGCCAATCAAAAAAAAAAAAATCTCAGTGTCACTCGACTCATAATTCCTCATCATCAGTTAGAGTAATTTATTACCTTTGAAATTAATAGATCAGTTATTGCTTAACTTGTACTACATCTAAGAGTATCAATACCAAATTTAAGACACAAAATAGGGAGAAAAATATCATTATCGAGTCACATTTGCTGCAAATGAAGATTTGACTCTTTCAATGTAAATAGTAACAAAATATAGAAATAAGTACTTACATCATAACCAATAACACAGAAATTTGACTTCACAAGGTGCTTTGCCATGCCAAATCCCATTGCTCCAAGGCCAATGAAACCAACTCGGCTAACTGTTTTTGATTCAGTAATAATGTGACTTGCTAGTTGCTCTGGGCTATATGGTTCCACACTGGCTGCATCTACAGTATTCACTCCAAATATTTTCTCCCAAACCTATTCAAAAATCACAATTTGATATGATTCAAAATGAGTATAGCAATATTTAATACAAAGAAGCTTTTCCAATTTTCTCTTCTAGTTTTCTTGTTGGGGATGGATTGTTCAATTTCTAATATTTGCAGCTTTGACTACTTGTCTAGAAGGTTCTAAGGTTGTAGGCTATATCTTCCTAGGTGTACTTCAGTATTCTAATGTAAATATGGTAGACTGTAGAATCCACAATTTTCTCTACTAATAAATTTTCTATTTCTAGCTCTATGATATCAGAACTTATTTCATGTGTTATCCCATAAGAAAAGGCAATACTGGCTGCTAAAGAAATTTTATAAACAGAACTACAGATAATGACCTTAATCAATGGAGTATCATCATCAGCTCCATGACCTTGAGTATACCCTGAAATTAAAATTTATTAAGCAGTTTAGAAAGTTCCCATCAGAAGGATAAAACAATCACATTGGTAAACATAGCAGAATGAAATTGAATTGAAATCTATATGAGTACCAAGAACCAGTTGTTGATGGGCAACTGCCAAAAGTGGAAGAGGAAATGCTAGTGACTTGGCCATATCCAAAACAACACCCTTGAATTCCAGAAGGGGTGGTAAGAAAGGAAAGAACATATCAATTAGTCTCAGAGCCTCACAAAGATAAAACAAGGTGCCAATACTGGAAATGATACTTCAAAAATAAATTAGACAACATACTCAATGCTGCTGTTATATAATTCATACAAAGAAATGATTATTCAAAATGATATCAGGATCACATATTATTACATCTTAAAGCTCTTAAAAGACTAGAGATTATGAAGTGTACTACGATGCATATTTCTCTTTAAATGATTACACTCAGTTTCTTTATACTTCAATTTAAAGTCATGTAATTTCTAGAAACATAACTTACAAAAAAATTGAATTGAATGTACCATTAACAGAGGTTTTGGAAGAGCAATTTTAGCTCTCTTACGCAGTTTCTCACTGGTAAGTGTTGCATTATTACAGGTTTAAGTGTTTGAATAATAAAAAAACCTTTGCATTAAGATGCATACTTATCTATAATATGCTGTCATAGAGAATCAGAGTTGAGATGAAATTCAAGATAGAGAACAGGATACATGTGCAGAAACCAATGCAAGAAAACAACCCCAAGGGGGTGGCTCAACTGGTTAAAAGCTTGAGATTCCAAGTCGGGTGGGAGAGATTTGGGAAAAGGGGAAGGCTATCCCCTCAAATGTACCAAAAAAAATTCAAGAAAACAGATCAAAAAGAAAATTATTGAACACTTGCCAAATTCTGAATAAAAGCATTCAGGATAGAGCTTTTGGCATTTCCCCTTAACAACTGTGGTACAAAATTCTTGAAAACCCTGTAAAAAACAGAGAAACAATTAAAAAAAAAAAAAAAAAAGAAGCAACAAGGAAACAGAGAAATAATAAAAATCAAGAAAAATCTAACAAAGTGTGCAGTTGTTGGACAAATTCATTTTTGGACAAGCACAGAGAAAAATGAAAACTCTTAGCACTCAAAAGCACCAGACTGAAAAATAATGGGAAAAATTTCAATTAAAAGATCAAGATGCAAGAGATATATGCTCCACTGAAGCATTTCCAGTTAGTTTGAGTTTATCACACTATTGGTGAAACTTATGATGAACTCTGTCCCCTTTCATGTCATATTAACTCTCTGAGGAGAAGAATTTGATTTCTCAGGTAACAACATTATCACCACCATACACTGATTGGAATCAGGAATGCTGGTCCATTCTGAGGGGCTTTATGATGGTAATGTTACTGTTTCCAAAAGCAAGAGACCATGATAAATAAACAAACAGCCTAAGCAAACTTGATGGAGAACCTGAACTTGAACTGAGAAGAAACTTTCAGATGAATTGCAAAATATGGATAAAAGATGATATGATATACAGCTTAATTAATCAAAGTGGTGAATTTGATTAACGAGATTCAGATGTCATACTACCTATGAAAAAATACTTATTAAACCCTTCTTGTACCATCTTATATTTGGTAAGAGAATGAAGGAAAGTGGCAAATAGAAATCCAAAACGGTATAATTGTTTGCATAAGTTATTCTGACATAAATCCAAATTCCAAAGGAAACTTAAAAAAAACATTGGTAAATGGAAAAAAGAGATGCAGCGGAAACAATCAAGATAACTGGACAAAAGTAGGTAACAAAAGAGATAAATGCAAGAAATACTATCATAATGGCTAGTTTACATTTTATGACTACAAATAAAACATGAAATAACATTGAGTTGAAAATTTGATTTAAACATAAATAATCTGAGGCAAGATAACTTCCCTCAGCTTGGTCCTATAGATAATAGATCTGCCTCATTCTTAGATGCTGGAGAAAGTAGCTATGTGACATAACTCCTGCCATGCTTGTGTTACTACTCTTCCACATCAAACATTTTTCTCAACCCCACCCTATGATTGACTACAATTAACCACCAAACAAAGCTGCAACATTTCAGGACTAATTTTGATTTCAGGCCCTCCCTATCAAACTTCAAGAACAATAAAATTGAAGCATTTACTTGCACTAATAATATGTTCAAAATAGATCAAGAAACAAAATCTAATTTTCTCAACCACACAGGCTAAGTGAAAATGATATAACAGTTCTATCCCCTTAGGCACTTTCCAAGAACTTGCAAAGCTAAGACAAGAAGTACTAAGAGTCAATTAAGGGTTATCCTTGCTGATCAAGGGAAAAAAAAATAATAATAAGGGCTATCCTAATTCCTAGCTAATAAAAAAAGCTATAAGAACACGCAGAATCCAGTAACAGCAATTATTATATATTCTATTTGAATAACTTGAAGCCTTGATTTTAGGAAAATAAAGTCCTTAAAAGGAAAAAAAATGTTACTAAGCAATAAGTCACCATGAATTTCCAGCAGCATTAGAAATGATGTCATAGAGAATCCATGGATGGATTCCAGCTTGAACACCAAGAGATAGTGCTTCTGCAGCAGCAACAAGATGGATTCCCTCAAGCAATTCATTAACCAATTTGATTTTGCTGCAAATAATAAGGAAATTAGCACAGAGAATATATGTACAATATCAAAAAAAATTTATGTGACATCTCAATGGGAAAGACAGCTGAGAGCTGAGACAAAACCTTAAGCTTCTTGTGGAAATTTTAGGGTGGGTGTTAACAAAATAGGGAACATGAATTTGATATCTCAAAGTCATTGGTAAAATACATGAAGCAATTGCAAGTGTAAGAACCACAGAAAGGTAATGGTACTGACTTGCTTATTACTACATGTTCAACTAGAAATATGTCCTAAACTGTATCTATTTGTGTTTGTTTCAGATGGAATTAAATATGTTGATGATCATATCCTTGGGTATATGCTATTTAGGAACTTTATGATGATCAAAGCAGGGGTTGTAAAATTAGGGAGAACTTTAGAGCCTAAAGGTATTCGGCTGAGTAGGATTAAATGCATTATATGACGTGCTGATAAAAAAAAAAAAAAAAAGAGTATATGATGTGCAACTTATGATATTAAAGGTGCAAATTGTTTTGTAAAAACTCAAAGTTACTAAGCATGTAAGGCTCCAATATGAATAAACAAAAAGAACTCCAACGGGATGTTAATCGTAGGATTAATAACTAAATAGAAAAAATTATGGATTAAGAAAGTGAAATATACATATGTTTAAAAGATGGTAGGCAAAACCAAGACAAAAAGATAGGATACCTTCCAGCACCAATTTCACCCTCAAAGACGTAAAGCTTTTCAGACATTGCTGTTAAGAAAACGCAATACTTACATTCAGATACATATAAAATCTATATGAGGCATATATAGATATATAGATATATAGATATGGGGAAAATGTTTATTAGTGTACTCCCAAAAAAATAAGATGGAAAAATACTCCAAAACTATGTCGTTTTAATAAAACCCACTGTAAAAGACTAAAACATCCTAGTTTTTAAGTCAAGAATGAGACTATTTTAGTCTTTTCTCATGGTGTTTTATTGAAATGACATAGTTTTAAGTGTTTTTCGCTAGGTCCAATTGATAAACACTAATCTCTACAGATATAGATATGAAATCTATTTAAATATAATTTGGTTTATAAAAACAGATTTTTACCAGAGAGAAAGGGTCGCGCTTTTGCAATTGCATCTGACTTTCCTGAGGAGATTACCTATGCAAGTTTTAAAGGAATTTAAAGAAAGAAGAGAGGTTAAGACTTAAGTAGCAAACAACAGGAAAATTGCACCCCCATATTCACAACTAAACTTCTTAGATAAAACAAAATATTTTGTATAAAAAATAATTTTACCATGACTTTTTCATTTAAAACCTCAAACATTCCCTTGTACAAATATGCGTCCAGTAGAAAAGAAGTCTGATCATCCTCTGCATGGGAAAAAAGGCTAAATTTCATGACAAACTTTATGATGGATTCCACATTGACCAGAAGGAGAGGAACCATTCAAAAACTTTGAATAAGTAGCAAAAATGATAACAGATTAGAAATAAAAGAGATAAGAAAACTAGAAAAAGAAATCAAGACCAAGTATCAATTAAGGGACAAAACATAAAATTCTTAAAAGTGATAGGAGGTTCGCACTGCTGAATAAAGATAAAGGGAAATACCAAAGTGACATTTTCTCCTCTCAGATAATGACCATAAACTCTAGAGTGCACAATATTCATCAAAGATCATGAGGTTCATTTATATTGAATCATAAATGAGGTCCTCCCCTAAGGGAATGCATAAGAAACTCAACATGCCATTTTGATAAAAATAAATAAATAAATAAGTAGACAGTTGAAAAGGTGTCCAGAAATAATTAATGGCATGAAAAAGATGAATGATTGAAGGTTAAAAGGAAAATAAGTGCCAATAGTTTGTCAATATAAAAAGACAGAATGCAGAAAGAAAATTAAAGCAATAGGAGACTGGATACTGCAACTGTTTTCCAACAACCAAATAGGAAAAAAATAAAATAAAACTCAAGAACTTTAATAAAAGAATGTGGCATGATATCAACAAAGAAAATACCTGTTAGTTGTTTCTCTAGATTCTGGACGTATAATGGTAATACAGTAGAATGGAGAATCATAATTGTGCCCTTTTGCAGCCCTATACAGCCAACCAACAAAGATATATAAATTATATGAAACCATAAAGTGGAGAACAACTCTACTTAGAAGCCTAGTAAAGACCTTTTAAAACACCCTTGGTACCAAAAATGACATCATTAATTTGATCCACGTGAGATATTAGTATGATCAAAGCTGCAGCATCTGCAAAAAACGCATACACCAGGAAAGAAATAAGGAGTTGTTCCAAACTAATTTTAAATAAGGCCTGAGCTCAATAGATTTACTTGGGGAAAAAAGAAGAAGAAGAAGAAGAAGAAGTTATTGAACTGTTCCTTCCAAAATACTCTTCGTGAATAATCAGTTTTCCTACCACCAAACAACAAAGTTTACATAAAAGACCATTAGACAATGCTAGTACAAAAAGCAAGATCCTAGAGAAAGGACCCTACTCGAACAAAGGCCATGGACATTTCCTCAGCAAGCCTGGTAATTTTATCTTATTAAGAAAAAAAAAAAGCCTGTATTTCCTGAATTCACTGAAAGCAGCATGCTTAACATTAGTCTCATATAATGTAAACTCTTGAAGATGTGATTGCCAAAAGTGAGCTAATATGACCATTAAGTTTTTGTTGTCTTGATAATACAGAAAGTATTCTTTATGCATATAAAATTGACAATTTTGGAATCTGGGTCTTGGGAGGCCGCCACATTTTTGGAAGACAAGTCCCAGCAATTCTTGACCAAAAGCTATTGTAAGGTATCCACTGTCATAAGATTCTGAAACAGAAATAACCTAGTCAACATGTATAGTAGGATCTTCAACCCTCGATTACAAGCTCCCAGAATAGTAGAACCCCTGCTTCAAAAGTCAACTCTTTTCACCCTGTTGGGCAGCCCAAGTTGACAGATTTCATACTCAACCTTTCAAGTCCTATGTACTACTTGAATTTTGAATAAGCAATGCCTGTGAAGGACTGCATTATACCATCTGCTACTACTCATTCAACAAATCTATAAAGCATGTTTTATCCACAGAATGGGAGCACTGAAAGATTGAAATTCTCTATGATTCCTGATTGCATTGTTGAAATTCTGACAGATTATTGTTGCTTATAAGGTAATTCTGTCAAGTATGCACCAAACTCCAGTTTTTTTCTTTATTACAGTGGTTGGATTACTTTTACATTTTCCATATTTCTGTTGCATCCTATTAGACTAAACATATTTACATATAATTGTGTTAATTGATTTCTCAAATAGAAAGATGTTCAGAGCATTTTACAATTTACATCTGATTCAAATCAATCAAACCAAGTTTCTTGGTTTTCAAGTCACATAATACCTCTTTCAACAAGAGAATTAAATGTTGTAAAAGATTATAATTGGAAACTGGGAAAGAAAAAAAAATTAGATTATTGCCGAATATTAAACTACCTTTCCCTGCCTCCATAGGACTGGTGCAGCTAGTTCCTCCTAGCTTCAAAAACTCATCCATCAAAGGCTTGTTTACCTGCAGACATGCATAAGATACAAATGTAAGCCACCTGCAAAATTTAGAAAACTATATCCAAGTCAGGGATTCGTGATGATACCTGATTGGTTCTAGTAACCAATCAGCTACTGCCATGTATCCTTTACTTTCCATTACTTTACCTTATCTCAATCCAAAGAAAGCATAAAGAAATTTCAAACATAGTGAATTAAATAGTGGAAAATTCAATATCAAATCAAATGAATGGTGGTCGTTAAATAACAAAGGAGACTTCACGGATGATTTGGCTGACCAGTCCTAAGAAACTTACTTTTAAAATCAATATTTCCCATTTTGTTATTTGTGTTCTTCTAGTCAATGAATAATGATCCTACTGATTAAACAATTCATAAAAAATGCAACGGAAATATGGAACATTAACCATTAAAGCAACTTCCACAAACCCCTTAAATAACTAAACCACAAGAAAATATAAAACCAAACCTCAACTTGGGGTGAAGCTGCATGCACAATCCAAAAAGGTACAAGAAAATAAATAAAAAAACAAACATTCAGCAAACAAATCATTAGGTTGCAGATTTCAAACATATAACTTCAGTAATATGTTTGAAAACTTAACAAACCATCAAAGATCCTTCTTGGTAGCCGACAAAACCAAAGCATAAGAAACTTAAAATTCAGATTTGATCATTTTCTTGTTAGCCAAATTTAAGTGAACCCATGTAAAAACTCCAACTCTGAAAATTGGATATTTGAGTTTCAACACAGGTTGCATCCAACCTATGGTAATAGTTTTTCTTATATCCAACTCACATGTCTTTTTCATATTTTTCCAATGTGGTATTTTCTCACTTAACACGGGCTCTTTACTCACATACTCAGTATTAATTTCGAGTCCTACCCCGTGATCTCAGGTGATCTCAGGTGATCTCAGAGTACAGACTTAAGAATAGCCTCTTCCAGCATTTCTTGCAAGAAAATATAAAAGCAGGGGTGCTGAAATTGGAGTCCTAATGAGCTTCTGATCAACAATCACGCATGATATCCGATCGGTAATTAGAAAAAAAAAAAAAAAAAGGAAAAAGAAAAATGGAACCTCGAAAGCTTGAAGTTTGTAGCCGGAACGAAGAAGTAAAGCGGCCATGTCTAAGCTGGAAGCATCCAATCCGACGAACCCAACAGTAGCAGCCATTGCTGAGGGGATGAGAGTGTTTTTTTTTTTTTTAGCTCAAGCAACTTCTTCTCTTGGAGTGTAAGGCGATGTTTGTCCGTTTGGGTGTTTCTAACTTTTTATTTTATAATTTGAGAATAGATTTAGAAATGGTAAGAAGAAGATAGGAATTTGGTTTTGGTAAGATACGTCCGTGAGTCCGACTCTGTGCCACCTCAGTTCCACGTTTCAATGCTTACCGAAAAGCGGGAGATTTCTTATTTCTCCCATGCGAAAATTCCAAGTACGGGCTATTGAACCAGATAAAATTATAAATAAGGGTTATTTTTTTTATCAAAGCACTTATTTGCACCCTTCATTTAATTTTTTTTTATGGTCAACACCTTTCAAAATTTTTCCTTTCTATTCACACCCTTTATTTTTCAAAATCCGTGAAAAACTCAATATTTTAACGGACTGTCAGGCACCATTAATAACCGTTAAATATTGTAATACGTGGCGCGAAACCAAGGTTTTGAGTTCTTCGTGGAATCTAATTTCACATGAATACTTACCAAGTTAAGATTTTCATCTACACAATTATAAGTAAATGAATACTGCACAAAAATATGATAAGCATCTTCTACTCCTTTCCCACAAAAAACGAAAAAAACTCAAATTGGCAATCTATTCGAAACAATCTCCAAGCAAAAAAATTCACATTTCCAACAAAAAAATTATTCCAAATTGCTTTGCATAAAATCGAAAACTAAGATAAATACATTTAAAATAAAAAAATAAAAAAAAAAAGGTTGGAACTGGGTTCCTCGCACAGGAGCCCAGAACTTGGTTTCGCGTAGGAACCCGAACTGGGTTCCACGCGAGGAACCCATTGAGAAGAGGATGGTAAAGATGGAGGATGATGAAGATGTCGAGGATGATGCCGAGGATGATGGGGGAAAGAAAAAAAATGAAAAAATGCCATTTATGTAACTGTTTTGTAATATTATAATTTTTTATTATTTTCACTGTATACGTGGCGTCCACATCCGTAAAAAATAAATCACGTAATAAAAAAAAAGATCCACATTGGATTATTAATGTTATATAGTGCCACGTCAATTTTTGGGTGCCACGTAATATATTTTTTAACGATGCCGTGACGGCTTGTTAAAATATTGAGTTTTTCACAGGTTTTGAAAAGTGGAGGGTGTGAATAAGGAGGAAAAATTCTGAAAGATGTTGACCACAAAAAAAAATAAATGGAAGGTGCAAATAGGGCTTTAGCCGTTATTTTTCTTTAGAAAAAATTTTGTAGACTTACTC